ATCTCTCCAGCTCCGAAGCAGAGGTTTAGATACCTTTTCCCCTCTTCTGGGAATCCCCCGGTGGCTGCGCTGGGGAGGTTGGAGGGGGGGGGAATACCTTCTGCTGCTGCCGGCCCGGCTCAGGTTTGGGTGGCTCGCCCAGCAGCGGCGGAGACGGCCCGGGGGTGCTGAAGGGAGAGCTCCCGGGTCTGCGGCGCGCTTTCCCTGGAGGGCTCCCGGGTTCCCCCACCTCCCCGCGATGGCCCGGGGCGGGGACGGGGACCGGAAGGGGCGCCTCGGCGTGGCTTACCGGGCTCGGCGGCTCCTGGGATCCGGCGCAATGACGGAGCAGAGTCCCGGCTCCGGGCGAGGCGAGGCAGCCCCAACCCTAGCCTCGCTGTCTTAGGGGGGGGGCGCCCCACCAAAGCCAGGCGCTGCTCCGCTCGCTCGCTCGCTCGCTCCCTGGGGCGCACGCGAAGTTGTGGGCGAAACAGACGGTCCGGGGAGAGCAGGATCGGGCCCAGAGCAGGGGCAGAAATTCACAGCATCTCCTTCTTCGCCTCCCTTTCCCTTCTCGACCGCGATCTGCCCGTTTGCCTGGCCGTCCTTCTCTTCCTTGGCTGGCTGGCTTCTGTTTATCTCTTCTCCTTTTCCTTCCCTTCTCCTCTGTTTTCGTCCCCCCCCCGCTTTTTTCCCTTCCGAAGGAAAACGCCTCGGAGGCGCCTGCCGTGCCCCCTCATCCCTTCGCCCCCCAACCCTCTTCGCCTGCTCCCTGCTGCGTCCCCCGCTTCCCCCGGGCTGGGTGGTGTCGAGTCCCACCCCACCCAAGCCCCTGGGCGCTGGCAGGACAGCCGCCCCAGGTTGCAGTCTGAGGAGGGCGGGCAGATCAGAGCGGACCCGATGGGATCCGACCGAGGTGGTGGTCTCTGTTTCCCTCCACCTCTCGCTCCAAGTTCAGGCGGATCCTTTCGGACATCACTTTCCAACCCCGCGAGCCAAGCTTTTTATCCCCGCGCCTGATCCGGGCTGCGTAACTTCCTCTGTGGGGCTGCCAAGCCATCCCCAGCCATCCCTCCCTTCGCCCCGGCCGGGGCTGCTCTCTCTCTTAAAGGTGCCGCGAGAAGGAAACGCAACCGGGGTAGGGCAGAGAAGAGGGAGGGAGGGAGGGAGGGAGATGATGGGGGGGGGAGAGAGAGAGAACACAAGGCGGGAGGGAGGGGCCGGAGGCTTGAGCGCGCACGCGTGTCCGTGTCCGTGTGTATCAAAGAGCGCGCGCAGAACACGAAAACAGAAAGCGAGGTGGAGGAGAAGCGGTGGAAGGTAGAAGAGGCGAAGAGGTAAGGGCAGGACAAGCCCACCTCGCCTCTCTTCGCCCTGTCCAAGGCGTTCCCACGACTGCCCTGGCCCAGCCAAGCC